AACACTTACAAGCATGATCCAATAAAAAAGTTTAGGGTCGGGATTTCGACGTCCAAAAGCTAGGTAGGGTCGGGAAACCGGAAACCCACATATTTATTTTTTTTGCCTAATACAAATATATACAAAATTTGCGAACTTCACAGGGCTATATTTTCCTCATATTACAACAATTCGCAACCAAACTTTGCACGTTTACTCATTTTAACATGCTCTTTCCAGCTATGGTAATGGATTTTGTTCTTCTTGACTAGATCAAAATTCCGTCTATATCTGGACTCAATCCATTCGTTCAAATTTCCAGTTTGATTCTGCTAGACACCACAGGTTTTCTCCAGGTACTCTGAGTTTCCTGCTGTAGTACAATGGAGCCCACTCATGGGGCTGTACGGCTTGTGGCTTACATATAAAGAGTCCTCGTTTTGGAGACAATGAACGCGGCGATGCATAACGTGCTTGTAATAAAGATATTTTAAGACACAAAACGACAAGTCAGATGAACGAAAACAAACCTAAACGTAGTCTCGGCATCTTGGAAGAATTCGTTATCTTTGTACAACGCATTAATCTAAAATAAAAATAGACACTCGTTAAACTAGTGGGCACTCGCCTACCAGCGAACTAAGTTATGCATGAATTGCATAATAACGTTAAGAATTCAAACGTTTGACCGGGGCACAAGAGTTGAGAAAACTCTCATGCAAACTCTCGCTTCTCAACTCTCGTCAACTCTCATGCAACTCTTGTTCTCGTTTGACCAGGCCATGAGAGTTGACAAAACTCTCGTGCAAATTATCGTTTGCCAATTCGATCACGCCCTGGTTCGACTCAACTTTCCCTTAGAGCAATTGATTAAAACAGTTAAATAATATCACTTTCTGGGCGTTCAAGTGGATGGTTTAAAAAACACATATTTCAAATTGACTTACTCCTTGCGTGACTCGGTTCTTCAACACTTTGTACTTCGCGCTTCCCGTTTTCGAGAACTCATCATCCCACGGTACACCATTTATTTGAAGCACCAAAGACTTCGAAATAACTAAAATATACAAAACAACATATTGATGGTTTTCAAATTCCGTCAAAAGGGCTCTTTGAGAGAGGGGTATGCATGTCGCTCGTCTAGTTCCCAAAACTAATAACGTCGCCGTGTCAGAATGTTGCCATGTCTTTTTCAGACTTTCATTGTTGTTTTGTATACCTTCTTCATGTCGCTGTCGCGATTTGGACGAAATATTTCAAATCCAACTATGAGGACTGGACTAGATTTCAAGTCCTCGCGATTTGATCCAGTCCGAGGCGAAGCCGAGTCCAGTCCAAATGGACCATTCCCCAATTAACCAAAATTTTGAACTCAACAAGTCTAGACAAAAATTTCATCACAACTTGAAAGAGCATCACAAAATTAGTAATATTCCAAAGTTTCGTTGCAAAATGTTGTAAAATGCGGATAATATAGCCTTGC